AGCAGGAATAGGACAGGTAAACACCCCTTTACCCTATAAGGACTAGAATTATTATGCTTTCTTTCCCCTCCCCTACGTATGACAATAATTTCATTTCATTTAGGGATGGCAAAGAAAGAAGAAAGACTATTACAGCCCAAAAAAATAGGGGTATGGAGGGGAGGAGTTGCACTCAGTTTTAAAACCATTTTGGCTTCTAAAACTTGCACTCAAATTTTGTTCTTTGTGGCAGAAGGGCAAGAAAGGCTGGTGCAGCCAAGCTCAGTTTGACACACAGTAATTTAGGTTCAAAAGGAACCATCTGATTCATTCAATTCATTGAAAGTGTAGTTGTTTTTTAGTCCTTAAAGGTCAATGCCATACCTGTACATACAAAACAGAACAATTCCAATGCACTATAACAAGAATTTTTAATATAAAAATGTACCTAAACACAATCAGAAGAGGAAACAACAACAGATTTGTGCACATGGATGTGAGAGAGAACAGCGTTCTGTATGCCTGAAGTGATCTTTTCAGTATTTTATATTTAGTTCAAAATTCTAAATAAGGCTAAAAGCTATTTTAAACAATTTTGTTACCATTATATAAGACAATGGTGGCAAAATTCAAACTCAGGTTTGATTCAATAACTGTCACCAGGTCTGCTAGTGTGGAGGAGGTGATAAATACCCACTTTCAGCTTTGAATTTCCTCCTTTTTTTCTGTGTCAGATCCTTTTCTACATTAAGGAAAAAAATAAAAATAAAAACAAACACACATCCTCAGTTGTCATCCTCTCAGTTCTGCCTACAGCCACCCCACTTCTGTTTCCCATTTACCTGCTGCTTGCTTGGCTGTTCTGCTTTGACTAAATCATTCCCCAAGAGATCTCTGAGGGCCATCATTGCCTGTCAGATGTCATCAGCCCTGTCACTGCAGGAGCGGGTGGCAGGTTGCAGGTAACCAGTCATCCAGCGCCCACCTTTGCAGTAAGCAGTTTGCTGCAGTATTCTTACACTGACCAGCATCACTCGCAGATCACACATTTTTGGAGCACTAACAGATATTTCTAATAAACTATGTTTTATATTGTCAACTAAAAACTCATGCCTTTCAAGGCAATCTCTCCCTTATTCCCTCATTTTCCTCTGTTCAACACTTGATTTTGGCAATGCATTAGTATATCTCCCATCCATTACACTCTTATAAACCTAAAGACTTTAGGGAGGAAGACAGGCACTTCAGTGCTGCTGCTTCTCTCCCTGCACAGTGTCTCCATCCAGATTTCCCAAACTGCAAACAGACAGCAATTATCTGATCACATACTTTCAAGTCAACAAAGAAGAACAAACTCCAGTTTTAATTCATGCATTTTGTCAGTTACAAACTGTTTGGTAAATAAAAATGTCCATTACAACTGGTTGATGCTTGGATTTCTGTTCCCTCACTGAATGAAACTACAATGACAGGCCATTTTCTTTCCCCCCGAATTTATAACCTTAGCAACTCAGCTCCTATGGGTGTTGTTTCAGCTAACAAATTCAGCTCTCAACAGTAAATCATCAAAACACTTTCAGCAAAGGGCAAATGGAATCAGTGTGAGGAAACTCAGAGCACAAAACTATTCTAGTTGCTACATTTGTCAACACATAGCAAACTCAGGAAAAACTGTGTCCAGGTACATAGGCTGAAAGGGAAGGACCGATACGCTAGAAGCATAAGGGACCACTTAAAGCACCCTAGCATATCAAAGATACTTGCCCACACTTAGTTGGCAGGCATACGACAGACCACAGGAACTTCTGCCTTTCTGGAGATGTATCTGGAGGAGAGGCTTGACATGACTGGAAATCTAAAATCACACTGGATGCCAACCTCCTGGCAAATCAATTCTAAGCCAAGCTTGGAAATAGGTGTAAACAACATGTGAATCAGGATGATAAACTGTTCTCAAACTCCCTTCAGACAATCTTGGCTGAAATTAAGATAAATGCCACTACATATAACCAGCAAGTACTGAAAAGCAGAATCTTAATTAAAAAAAGGAGGGGGGGGAGGTATAATCCTTGATATGGGCATTTAGCCATGAGAAAAAACACTGTAAGAAGTGATCACACACATACATAAACTATTTTAAGAAATACCACCTATTTCAGGATTTTTCCATCAGGTACAATATAGCTAAATGAATATGAATGGTATCAGCCTAGCATGATTTTGAAAAGAACTGCCTTTTTCTTTTCTTTTTTTTTTTTTTTTTTTTTTCTTCCCCAACCTCCTCTCTCCAAAGATTTGCAAAGTGTTTAAAGATTAAATAACAGCAAATCCGAATGCAGGTCCTTGTTACGCTTGTTGTTCAGGAGCAGGAAGCCAGAGGCAGAGCAGATGCTGTGGGCAGCACGGCCACCCTGCCGGACATGATCCCAGCAGCAGCAGCAGAGCAGCCAGCTGTGCCCAGCACCAGCCCGGCCGGCTGCACCCAACCGCACCGAGACCTCCCTCATGGCCTGGAATCTAGAGGGACGTGGCCACCCAAAACTTGCTCAAGTTGTAATGAGAGCCACCAGTTCAACCCAAAGACGCAGCATCACACTGCAGTAAGTCATGAATCACTTCGTGACAGCTCCGCTGCCTTCCTAAATTCAACTGTTCAAATAAATACATAAATAAAATATCCTGAAGATCACAGGGCAGCAGGAAAAAGCTGGTCTACTATTCTTTACTTAGGCTTGCCAAAAAACATTTCATAAATAGTTTATACTATTTGGCAGCACAGACAGGAGGGAGGAAGGAAAGAGATCAAATTCAACATGTGAAACTCAATTGACCAAATGCTTGTTTCCCTTGCTTCTTTTACAGGAAAGATTAAGAAACAAACAAACAAAAACAATGCCACACAATTCAACTCTACCTTACTCTTTCTGGTAGGCTTTATTTTCCAAAATTACAAGAGAATATGTGAATAGTTAAAAGGGGAATTAAAAAAAAAAAGAAAAAAAAGAAAAAATACAAATCAACAACCACTCCCCCACACACTTTTTCAACTGTTCTAAATTTTCAACTGATATTCAGCATGGAAAATATTGTTTTATAGATTAACTTTGGATAATATTTAAAACTAGAGTAGATACCTTGGGTCAGGCATCCAAAATATCTTAAGTTACCCAGAGGTTTTCATTTACACATTTTAAAAAATTTTACTGGACCTTGAACCGAGAGTGTAAAAGAACAGAGACAACACAAAACAATTACTACCTAATCGATTCAACAAAATTCAAACTCTTACTTGTATTTGTAAAACCATTCAATGATTTTCATCTGAACAGATCTCCCTGTTCCACTTTGAAGTCAAAGTGGGTCTTTACACTTCTGTTTCTCCTTCAACACAAATTTTTCTATCTTCTATTCCTTTTAAAGTCAGGCCATTGACACATAACAGTACTGCTTTGTTCAATGAACTGAAAATATTCCAGCTCAAAGTGTTATCAGTTCATTAAGTCCACAGATGTAATATACGGAGGCAAATGTAGAAAGGAAAACATATTTGCTTCAAACAAACAAGAAATTTAAGCGCACATATAAGCAAATATAATGTGAAGTTCATCCCTCCAAGACAGATCTCAACCTCAATTACCTCAATTACCCAAGATAATGTTTCCAAATATTTTATCTACTTGTGAACAATGAAGAGTTCTCTCCTAGCATAGCTGGGAAGTATGAACAACAACGCCACCCGTTTGATTTATTACATGGTATAAATATTAAGAAACCATGCACTCAAGGCTACCAAGATTAAAAATGCAACCATCATAATTCTAATCTTACGTTATTAACATTCAAGTCGTGCAACTCCTTAAAGCTATGGGTAACATCTGATCCGTTCATCAAACTTCAGATATAAACCACAAGAGACAGCTAGATGTCAAGATCATTTACCTTACCTGACAGGCAGATATATGTTAAGTATTCACCCTGACCTCCAGTAGCCAGGAAAGGAATCTTTTTCTTCGTTCTTCTTTTCACTTGAACAGCTCCCAACATCCTTTCATCATGGGGGGCAAAAATTTCCTTGCTGATTGCAGATTTGGCACTCATTGTAGATTATAGATAGAGCTGACCTCCAAAAAAAATCTAAAAATAAAATGAAAGACCAAAAACATTAGGAACTACCCCCAGATACAATTAACTTGCATAGGTATTAGCAATGCTGACCTCCAAATGAAGTCTTTAATGATTTAGAGTTGAGGGGAGATAATTTCATGCATTTAACTGGAGGCAGAATTTTCAAAGTATCTAAGAGCTTTCAAGCACTTACTAAGTTAAGCACACTTTGAAATCCCTCCGTAAGTGCTTGAAAGCTCTTAGATAAGTTAAGCACACTTTGAAATCCCTCCAAAGCTAGGCTGGCTTATTTGGGGCAGGAGCAGCCCACCAGCACTTCAGCGTAATACTAAATCTTCTCAGAGACACCCCCTGTAATCTGTAGTTTTGCATGAAAGCCCCGTTTATTCTCCCTGAGGCACTGGAGGAAAACTCGTCTGTCCCACCAGAGGGGCAACCCAAAGGAACACTCGAACTCGAGTCCATGCCCCCTCTACAGCTTCGTCCCATCTGCAGACAGCAAGTTGCCTTCACTGAAAATACGGGAAGGTTATATCTCTTCCAAAGCTACCGTTTGCAGAGCATTTCTCTGCTTAGCACCTCATCCACTCGGCAGTTTGCTGGACTGCATCTTACTGCACTTATTTCTGCACTAAGTCTGTTAACAAGTGTGCAAGTCCCACAGATAGAGGCTTATAGATCTGAAGGAACTCCCATGGCCAGAAACAAGCTCCTTTTTTGATCCTCATATCCTTTTAAAAAAATCATTTGCCATGTAATGGTTTACTCTAGGAAATTTAAAATAAGCCAGGTGGCTTCCTGCCTGCTTTCTCAAGTCTCACTGCTTTTCTACTGTGAATATTTTCTACTTGCTCAGCATTAGCCTTAGCAAGCCTAAGATCCTCCCAGGAACCAGCTGCATCCTTTAGTCCACTCGGTTCATTCCCTTTAGCTTTCTCCTTAGTTAACCTTAAAACAGATCGCCTCCAAGTTCATTTATATGAAAGTCACAAAATCTTTGAGCCCAGTTTTTCTACATATCACGTAAAGCACTCAGTACTTCACTGTGGGTTTACTTAGTACTGGGACCTGTCTCCAAGCCTGCGTCAGAAATTAATGAAATGTCTCCTGACATTTTTATCCTTTCTTATGTAAAAGTGGCCCAGGCATGATATCACTCAACCCACCCATTCCTGGGGAAAGGCACCAGAAGAAGCTTTCATTTGCCTGTGTCCAGCTAAAACAGAAGGCTGATAAAAACCTCCTTTCTTTCCAAATCCACCTGTCCTCATCCAACAAAAATCACGTATTTTCACAGAAAAACTCAGAGCTGAAAGACAAATGAACAGCAGTTTCATATCAGTATTTCATGAACTAGAGGCTATGAGTAAATTTAGCCATACTCTAGACTGACTTAAGCACCTCCCTTAACTTTCCCTTTCAGGAGCTTTATTTTCCCTCTCAAAAAGACCAAGATAATAATCTTACAGATATTCACAGAGACACTAAATGAACATAAGAAACTACTTTTTTGAAGTGATACAGATACACAGCTTTCAACTGCCTCAATATATTATTTTGTTCAAACCAATGCCACATATATCAAACAGTAAAACCTGAAAAGCGATTAGAAGGATAAAAAACAAAACGGGAGAGGTGAAAGACAGTATTAACAAGGAGTTTAAAAAATATATATATTAGGACTAAATAGATCTGTAAAGGTCTCTTCCAACCTCAACCATTCTGTGAGTCTGTATGTAAATATTTTACTGCTTTTAACCTTTTTTTTTTTTGAAAAAGCTACAAATATTCTCCAAGTTGACCTGCTAATTAATTTACAAGCAATGAATTGTTAAATAGTCTCATTTCTGCTTCACTCACTGTTTTTTTTTTTTTTTTAAAAAAGGAAAAGATAAGGCCGAGAAAATTACGAGAAAAAATTTCACCTATAGAAAAATCCCCTGCCATTTTACTTTAGGTTCAAGTGTTGTAAAAATAGTTTTATTCAGTTTTACTCAGTTAGCTTAATAAATATTAAAAATCAACAAATTTGTGTGTGTATGCACGTGTGTGTTATAAATTACAAGTTGTTACTTGCATGATCACTACTGATATTTGATAGGCCCTGTTTAACAGCAACTATAATTAATAGAAGCAACAGGTTAGCTTTCATGTGAATGTGACCACATACGGCTTTGCAGGGAATTTTATTAAAATAAAGCAAGAGCTTCTATTTAGCTCTGGGGTGGCATTGATAATAGGCAGTCTCATGTATCCTCTCTTGCTAAAGCAGTCCTAATTCCCCTTTCAGTGTTCAAATAACATGACACTCTAATACATTTACAAAAAATTCCACATCTCCAGATTATTACAATATGCAAGCTCACAGCTCTTTTTGACATCCTTAGTTTGCTTAGCACCAGTATGATCACATTCAAGTCTCAGCTAATGAGGCCAGAAATTCTGCTTATGCAGTCAAAATGACAGATGATACCTGCCATAGTTTAAATATTAGAAAACAACCGTCTTAGGCAATAAACTCAAGAAAAATATAAAAATCATATTTTAGTGGGTATACTATCAGCAAAGTAATTGTCTAAATATTTTCGGCCTCAACATTTTATTGGAGAATAATCTCTTTTTATATGATAATATGGTATAATAAATATATATGATAATATATTTAGAACAGTATCAACTGGTTACTAGAGCACACAGCAAAGCAAGCTTAAGATTTATTTTGGGATGCAAACAGAAACCTTTGCAAAAAAATGCCTATAGTAATAATAAACCTGTTTCAAAATGCTTAGAGCTGTGCAAACACTAATGAGTTATAGTATGCGGTTGTTTTACATGCACCCCTGCAAAGATCGATGCAACTTAAAAGTGTGCCATTAAAAGAAAAATCCAGACCAATGTGAGTCAAGGCAAAGAAGCCACCTCACCTCATGAAAAAAAATGTTACTTCATACAAATCCTACCATGTAAGTTACCATATCCTTTAATAGCAAGTAGCTCAATGCAGAAAAATAATCAAGAAAACAAACAAACAAACAAAAAGACAAAAAGATTTTCTAGCTAATTAGTAAAAGGGTTGCACAGTTGTTTTCACCTAGGTTTCCTCTTCTGTTTTTTCTGTAAAAGCTGCAGTGTATCACATAGCAGCATGAGACAGCTGCTGGCACATTCTGACTTTCATTTTTCCTTTTTTAATTCAAGGCCACTGTCAGTGGCTTTGGGTTTAGTCAAACAGTTTTTTTCTGACTGAGATAAGGACTGATAATCTTTCCAAAGGCAACTTTAGTCTTAGAGCTTCACATACTTAAACAATTCTTAACAAACAGTTCCCTGGGAAAGGACCAGCACAATTTTTTTCTTGTAAAACATACTTCAGTTCCATTCAAGCCAGAAATTGTGCTCCAGCTAGCGCAAGTTGAGCTGTAGGTCTCTGTAGACATTTCCTCAAAGTTCATGCATTGAAAAATAAAGCATGAATTCATAAGTCTAATCTACAGACTTATGAAATGTAAGGTCTTCCTGGAAAACAGAGGATATATTCATGAAAAGAGGAGTCACCTCACTAAAACCAGTGCCCCTTGTTTTTAGGCTTTTATCTATGTTTTACTGAAGTACTGCATTTGATTTGTCTATAGCCTCAGAATTTTCATTCAAAATTTACTCTAAGGATTTATAACAAGTAATAGACCTCACTGCATACAGCTTTATTTGATAAGATTTTACTAAGCAAGAAGCAAACCAACGTGGAGATCATTTTGATTTATGATGCTTAACGTAACAGCATGAAACTAAAGCAGCTGCCACAAATGCAACCCAAAATAAAATCTAGCAGGTATAACTAATGCATTTCTCTGTGTGTACATAAACTTATCTCCTCATGGAAGTGTTTTTATGCACAAGTCATATACAAATCCAACTTCAAAGTCTGACTCTCTATGATATATGCAAGACAAAATAAATCTCCAGTTGCAGTAGGGTCACAGAAGGTAAGAGAGTGACAAAACCAGCTGGTTAGTGCTGTGTACAGTTATTTGCTTTGTGATTAGTGTGTTTTTAATATGCATCTCTTGCAGATTGTGCACAAAGGCAGCAGACATGAGCTCTATAAGCAGCACATCTGCCTAGCAGCCTGCACTTGCTGCCTAGGAGGTGGTGACCCTTCTTTTCCCAGTACTTGGCTCACAAGTCTCAAATGCCAGAATTATTAAGGGATTAATCTAATGCAGTGTACTGGACACGATTTCCAAATCTCATGTGAAAACCCATGCTAGTACAAGCGGCATAAGCCTGTTTTTTGTAAAGGAAAACAAAAGTAACTGTCCCTATGTACAAACAGGCTTCTGAGCACTGGCTGTCAGCCGAGTTTGGATGAAAGTGTTTTTTCATGAATCAAAAAAGCTGCGGCTAGATGTAACCAAACAAGTTTTTCCATATTCACTGGCACAGCTATACAAAAGACTTCTTGATACAACCTTTTCTCAAAATAAGGCATCCCAACATCTCCCTTTTTCAAGAGCACAAATAGTAAAGCTAACAGGAAGATTGCAGTAAAAAGTCAGAAGCCTTGCTCAAGGAACATGAATAAGTCTCAAATTTCCCCACACTCTAACAAAATAGTTCTTTTTCATCTAAGAGACTGGTTGTACTTGCAAGTTTTCATGTAGTACATGCAGACTTTTCCATACAAGAATGTCCTTGGCTTAAGTTCCACGATGAATTCACACCATTACCAGCTTTCCATGACTGGCTCGTATGAACTCACACACTCTGGAATGCAAACAGCTCCTTCCACACCTTTTCAATTATAAGTCCAATAACGGCTAAAGCTACCAGAGCCTTCATGAATCTACAGCACTACCCAGAAAAGCAATCTAAATAGTAACATTTTAACTGCTGAAACCAACCAACCAAATTTCTCGTAAGATACAGAAAAGACCACCAGAAAAGCAACTCACACTCAAACTGTGGTTGTTCTACTCAACACCAAAGTATTAAATCA